GGTGAAGTCTACTTTGCCCACTCCCAAAGCATCGGACTGCATCCACCTCCACTCCACTACCAAGCAATCAACCCACAATGACATCTGCCACAACCGACGTGTTCCAGTGGCCACAGCACACTTCTACCACCTCCCACATTTGCTTCGTATTCTCGCCCCTTTTTTAAGATAACCACTATTTCCTCCTCCCACCATTCACCAGGCCTGCAAGCGCGCACCGTTGGCAGTGTAGACGATATTCTGAAGTTACTCTGGGCAAAGTCTCCTCGGTAGTCGTGGCAAGGGCAGGCAAGATGGATGAGGTGTTAGAGTGTGTCACGCCCTCCAACTCCCACTCGTCTCGACCGTGCATTTACACCATCCGCATTTTCCATTCGGTGCCTCTTTCCTACCTCTACCACGTGTCGCTCGGTGCGTGTGAAATTGTCGTAAACAGACGGTGACGATGCGTTATGATAGAGGCAGGTGATGTCACTCACTTACTGATGAAATGCACCAACTTACCATCAGGAAGTGTTGTGAATTTGCCGGACACTGACCAATGCTGAACATAATCTGCAAGTCCTGTGACAAGAAGAGTGTATTGTGTTTGGGGTCTCAGATTCCGCACAGTGAATTCGCCACTAGAGAAATCAGCAGTTTCTCGAATTTGTGCTCCACTGCCGCTGCTTTCTTTGAGGACCAGCAGGAGTGTGTTCACGCCTTTTGAGTTTGGAGGATCGGTTTGCCACAGCAACTTATACGCTTGACCTTCCACGTGGGTTAAACGAAGGTTGAGCGAACCCATGTACGACTGAGGATCGTTGACCTCGGTTATTTCCAATGCTAGGAATGAAATAATAATAATAATAGAACTAATGAGCGGGGTGAGGAAGGATGGCAGGATTCTGCCCAGGATTTGATGCACGGAGTTGATTATCCGCAGGTGGTGGCACTTGGGAAATGCATGTGGTGGAAGAGAGCCAGCCGCAGTGCTCGATAATGCTGACAAGTGCAAACTGAGCCATTCATAAAAGCGAAAACAACGTGCGGTGTAATTTAATGGTTGTTAGTTCTTCCAGTGGTGCCTTATCTCTACCATAGAGGAGTGATAGGGTGGAGGAGGAAGGGCTAGTCGACCACTGATATCAACACTGAACGCTGGCGGATGAGGAGTGTCATTGTGGATATGACGACAATCACCTCGATGATGAAGTTGTACGGACCGCCTTGCGAGGCACACAGTCCACGGTCCACTTCCT